TTTTTTTTAAAAATTGGATTCCAAAGGCACCCTAACTGGGCTGGACAGTATGTAGTCCCAACTGCTAGAAATGTCACTCTTAGTTCCTGCAGGATTGCCTCAATTCCATACAGTTGCCTCATTCACAAACTCAATTTTCTACAGTGCCAGTGATGTTTCAGTAATGTCTAAGAACTACCTCCCCAATAAAACAAAGAATTGGTTCAAAAAAAAAAAAAAAAAATAATACCTGGTGCTTCTTATATTTAGAAGTCATTGTTTTCAAAATTCTAAACTCGGATGATAGACTGCTTCTCTTCAGAGGCATAATAAGCGCTGCGGACAAGTAATAGCCCCTCTAATGGGCTTGATCACTGCTGGCCTATCGGCCCTCTCTTTTCTTATTATGCACAAAGACCTCGCAGAAGGACTTAGCATTCTGCCTTAAAAGAGGCAGTAGCCGAAGAGGCACTGAGGTTAAGCTCATGTGATCACATTTTATTTAATTATCTGTTAACAGCGATAATTAGCTTTCCCATTTGTGAGGCAGCGGGTCTGGGTAAATTGCCTTTAAGGTCCTTTCTATCTCAATTTGATGACTATGGTCTTCACTGAAGGGTCTGGTCCAACCTTCCTTCCTAGGAGTACCATCCCTGCCTATGGACGTCAGTGAACGGGATGTAACCCACTCTCTTCTCCTTTTGCTCGTCACAATGATGCCATGACTGCCATCAAGTGAGAAAAAAAATCTATCATAGTCCATGATACGCGTTGAGCAAAGCAGATGCAAATTAATGAAAATGAATGGGCATGACTTTCCTTCCATAAGGTAGAAACAAACTGTGTGTGTGTGTGTGTGTGTGTGTGTGTGTGTGTGTGTGTGTGTGTGTGTGTGTGTGTGTGTTGATGGGTACATGCAAATATGGGTGTGCATAAAGAGTGAGTACATGTGTGTAGAGGCCAGCAGTTTGCATCAGGGGTCTTTCTCTGTCGCTCCTCCAGCTTAGTTTTTGAGGCAGGGTCACTCATTAAACCTGGAGTTCACCATAAGTGTTCTGGACCAGAACTCAGGTCTTCAGGCCAGCGCTTTTCCCACAGAGCCATCTCCTCAGCCCCTGGAAATCCTTTTAAACAGAACGGCAGGTCATTCCATCCTTGCGTAATAAAGGGAAATCATTTCTTTCAGAGATCTCAACAGAAACAAGTTGACGAAAGAGTGACTCCAAAGGCTTTCACATAGATAGTCAATGAACAACACAGGGGTGGATGATGTGCAATAGCAGAATAGTGAATAGCTTTTTGGAAATCCTTTCCGAGAGGGCTGCAAATACAGCTCAATGGTAGAGCTTGCCAAGCATGCATGAGGCCCTGAGTTCTACTGAGAGAAAAGAGAAAAGAGAGGAGAGAGAAGAGGAGGAGTGGGGAGGAAGGAAAGCAGGGAGGAAGGAAGGAAATCCTCATCCACATGCCTTATAGGTTTAAAGATCTTTCTCAATGTTTGTGGTTTGGGGTCTGGCAGGAACCTAACCATGGTACTGTGGATCCACTGTAGACAACCTTAGCAAGCTGATGACGACACAGTATTCATGTTAAGGCTCTACCCAGATCTATACGATCTTCTGGGAATTAATTTTCAAGCTATCCAAACTAAGTCTGCTTCTGGCCTTCTCAACTCAGTGGAAAGGGAGCTGCAGAATCTGCCTATTCTAATGTGATCTTGATCCAAAGGGCTGCAGTTGGGTTCTATCTATCTTTTATGCTGAGTTCATGATTAAAAAGGCAATATTCTCATTACACTTCCTAGATTTTTCTCCATTTCAGAGGAATAAATTAAACAGAGATAGGTAGGTTTTAGATTTGTCTTGTTTTCTTTGGGTTTTAGGTACAGTTTCTGGAATGCCTCTGCATCCCAGGCTGGCCCTAAATTTAAGAGCCTCCTGCTTCAGCCTCCCAAGTCTGCCTGGAATACATAGTATTCTAGTATGTTCTTGCCACATCTACCCAGGAGACTTTATCTGTAGACATGACTGGCCAGACCAGGTGGGCACTGCTCATTATGGATGGCAAGCATCTGGGGAAGGTAGAGCAGCCAAACCACCTGGGAGCTGAAAAGGATGGCACAGTATGAAGCTATCAAGGGGAGCTCGGCACCCATGCAGAACGGACAGTTGAGAAAGGATGGGATATTGCACGGATTGGATACATAGAATTCATACAAATGCATCAACAGAAAATCAGCACTAAATGCCACATTCCTTTTTGTTGTTGTGCTTTGTTGTTGTTGTTGTTGTTGTTGTTGTTGTTGTTGTTGTTTTCTGGCTGCCCTGGAATTTACTATGCAGTAGAGAAGAATAGCTTCAAACTTGAGATGATCCTCCTGCCTCAGCCTCCTGACTGTTGGGATTATGTACCCATTCCACTTCTTTTGCATATCCTCAGTGGGGGGTGGGATATTTACTGACCACCCAGTGGGTGCAGAGTACACGCTCCCTTAAAATACTGGACAGACAATATAAATTTGCTAAATGGGTGGAGACCGAGGTCAAGGGCCCAGCTTCTCTCTTTCATTTTCCTTTAACAGGGATTAGAAAGACTAAAATTATAAAAATTGACAACAAAGCTGCAGAATGTCTGATTTCTGCTGTTTCCCATTTTACTAGCATATTCATTAGCCCCATATTCATATAGAATATGAAGAGAAACAAATAGCTAATCGAGCTGTTATTTAAAATTTTATAGATTTATTTTACTTTATGAGTGTGTTTTGCCTGCATACATGTACGTGTATCGCATGCATGCCTGACCCCCAGGGAGGTCAGAAGATGGTGCTGGATCCACTCGAACTGGAGCTACCATGGGATGCCAGGAACTGAACCTGGGTCCTCTGTAAGAACAACAAGTGTTCCTAACCACTAAGCCATCTCTCCAGCCCCAAATAGAGCTATTATTTCATTGTACTAAAATTGCTTGATTTACCTAAACGTTTATTTACCAAATAACTGGTTTTCATTTATGTTAAATAATGACATTTTTGCTTCATCGAAATTGTTAGGAATTCTTTTCTTTCTTTCTTTTTTTTTTACACTGATTTCGACCATTTTATAACCAACTTGCACCTACAACTTGCTGCCTTCAGGAAGAGGAAAAAAAAGGAAAACCTGTGACTAGAAAGTGATCAGCCTGAATGCGCATGCTAATTACCCCTGAGCTGTGAGGCTACAGATCATTTTTACCTCTTTTTCATTCCTTCCTTGTATTTCCTAAAAGAAATACTTATTTTCTACAATAAACATGTATGATTTAATTTACCAAAGAGAGAGGGAGAGAGAGAGAGAGAGAGAGAGAGAGAGAGAGAGAGAGATTGATTTCCTTAACTACAGTAAAGATGGGAGAAAGTTAAAGTAAAGACAATTGCAAACACTCTCCTCTCCAGAGTGACTGTTAGCTTCGTGGCTCCAAAGCTGACTTTCCTCGGTGGATGAGCGGGTGAGGAAATGGCAAACAGAAACAGTTAATAAAGCCCCATCACACCTAACACACGGGCAGGATCTAAAAAGGCTCCGTCAGCATGCAAACACGCCTAAGTGTCTCGGCAGGGAGGAGCACAGGGCGTCTCTGAAAGCCACAGCTGCGCGCTGCAGAGCGGAGACAGAAGCTCGCTTCTCTTGTCAGGGCCTACCTCTCCGAGTCTAACTTCTGAAGGTGGATCCAAGAATGTTTTGTTCTAGTTTTAAAGCAACAAAAGGCTGAATGTGAAAGTGGAGTAGGTTCGTTTTTTTAGGCACCGAGGCAAAAACAGAAATAGACTGTGCGGGTGTGATAATTATTCTTACGGAATTTTAATATCCTGGGCATATCAAACAAAGGGACGAAAGGGTGTTTTAACACGCCCACTGTTGTGGAACAACTCACACACATCCAAAAACCAGGCTGCATCTCTTCAGGAACTGCAGTCTAGGGAGCTCTGTCTGCGTGGAGGGTCATGTTTTCCGTACAGACCACACAGACGTTCACAGAGTTTAAATGAACTTTCATCAAAACAAAGGCGATCAGCTCGATGCTAGACCTCTGTGCATTTTCCTGCTTGCAGGGGGAAAGAAGCCATGGCAGCTGATTTATGGAATACTGTTAGCAGCCGCCGCAAAAACAGAAGCCGAGGTACAGCGCCATGGTCAAATGTCAAAATCGGTACAAGCCGTTGTTTGTTTTCTCGGGTACCAGAGACTTAGATGCCACCCGAAGCCTGTTGTAACTGACAGCATTTCAAGATCTCCGAGAATCGGGGCGGATGGGGGAGGAGGGGGGGGGGGAGAATAATGAGAAAATGACTGTCATATTCATTTTTTACATAGGCAATACTATAAAAAATAATGTAATAGAAGTAAGCATGCTCCCAGTTTGGCCCCTGGTTGCCTAGGTAACGGGCATGTCACCTGACCTCGGGGCCCGAGCATTCTCATCTTCAATATCACATGGTGACTATGAACTGCCACAGACTCATTATGCTAAATTCTAATCTCTCTCTTCTCTTAGTGGCTGCTTAGAACAAAGCTGCAGACTCTTTACATTTCCTTTGAAAAAATTAAAGCTATCTAAAGAACCGATTCTTTTGCCAAATCAAAAGAATTTGTTAGAAGGAGGCATAAAGGACTACAACTTTCCTCTGGAGAGAATGCGATATTCAGGGATGATAAAAAAAAAAAAAAAGTCTCACGTCAGCCCCAAAGACTATACCTATTCGAAAATGGAATGGCTTATAAAATAATTAGCTTTTGTGAAAGCGGGAAAAAGCATAAGGTTTAAAGGACAGAGAAGAAACCGGATTAAAGGAAGTCAGTAGGTTTTTCTTTTCTTAATTCAGTCCCAGGCTACGAGGTAATTTATAAATATGCTTTGGAAAATATGATACACACAGGATTTTGCATCTTCGTGGCAAAAAGACAGACTCTGACGTGTCACCTTCCAAAGCCATGGAAGCATGATACTACTGCCGTGGGAGGATGCAGATGAACGCGGTCTGCAAGGGTCTAAAACTGAAATCACACAAACCCTTAGGTCCTTCATCCTTCGGGGGGTTGGGGTTCCGAACGGGGTCCCGGATGCTGCAGTCCGTGCCTGCCCAAGTGAAATCACAGATGCAGGTGGCTTCATTACTACACACCTGGAGAGGAAAAAGAAGAGAGACACCACACTGTGGACCGTCCATGGTAAATGTGATCTAAGGAACAGGGTGCACGAAGGAATCTTTCCAAGTCATTTAGAAGGCTTCTAAACTTTCCCATGGCTTTGGGGACTGGGTTCATGGGTCATATTACTGAATATATTTTCTGATAATTATAGGGAAATAATAATGATTAAGATGAAGGAAACTTTTTTAAACTTGTATTATTCATGATATTTAGATACACAAATGTCCAATAAGGTAGTTGTTTGTTTGTTTTTTTTTCTAAAGCCGATGTTTCTAGGAACATTCATGAAAAACATACATGTTTCATTCAGCGAGTTAACAGACCCAGGTCTCAAAAGACACTTCCCAAGGGGCGATCCTCAAGAAAAAGGACCAGGAGACACAACCACTAAGCACACTGTGTGTCCTCGCCATGCCTAACTCATTTGGTGGCACTCTGCCCGCCCAATAAGCACTGACTCACCCTCCCCGCCATCTATGGAGTCACGCTCTCCCAGGCAGCGGGATGAAGCCCTCCATCAGGCAGCAAATGGCACAGACTTCCCATTTACGTGAATCAAATAAAACCCTCTGCAAGCTAGAGAGACAGGTGCCGAGACCCTTTTATCATTAGATATGATAAAATCAAATGCCAAAGCTTTTAAATCTGAGATACTGTGGTCCATGATTATGATTAATAAGGCTGAACTTGGCTTTTTTAAAAAATGGTGGAAATGGGGGGGAGGAGCAGAAAAGAGCTTTTACATCTCATATTTTTAGAGCAATAACTAAAATGCTTAAAAAGTCTGCCCGGTGATTTCATTTTACATAGCAATTTCACTGAACACTCATTATATGTCAAGTTCCTCTGCTAAGAACTTCAGGAAAAGCTTCTCATTACTCCTCACACCAGCACCTAAGGGCTGAGAGAGGGTAAGTACCCACCCAGCGTCCCTGAGATGTCAAGAAGTACAGCCAGAACTGAAATCCACAACCTTCTCTAGCCCCTGAATTCATGTTCGTAAGTCACCAGAGAGGATGGCTGACTTCAATGTCATAATAAACATCTAGGGCATGAGCAAGGCACACTTTCGGGGTGTCTCTTGAGTGTGTTTCCGGAAGGATTAGCTGTAGGGGAAAGGCCCAACCTGAGTGTGGGTCACAGTACCAGCCCATGCAATGGGGCCCTGGACTGAATGAAAAAGTAGACTCCAGCCGGGCGGTGGTGGTACACGCCTTTAATCCCAGCACTGAGGAGGCAGAGCCAGGCAGATCTCTGTGAGTTCAAGGCCAGTCTCTTCTACAGTGAGTTCCGGGACAGGCTCCAAAGCTACACAGAGACACCCTGTCTCGAAAAACCAAAAAAAAAAAAAAAAAAAAAAAAAGGAGACTCCAGGGTGTTTGCTTCCTGACCTGATATAAGGAGTAAGTTTCGGACCTCCACTCTTCCCCATAATGCTGGGCTGTGGCCCCGAACGGTGATCCAAACCACTCTCTCCTCTCTGAAACTTTATGTCAGGTATTTTGTGGTATCAATAGCAGAGTGACTAACTCACCCAGCTACACAGCCTCCCTGTGAGCTTGCTCAGCTGACCATTACCACCAGAGAAGTTTCCTGAGCATATCCACCTTATTCTTATCCTCAGCCTAGGTCTCTATGCTGGGTTCCTTTTACCGTCATTCCAAAATCTCCCATTATTATTATTATTATTATTATTATTATTATTATTATTATTATTATTGCTCTGTTTCTTTGTGCCCATTTTTCTAATTTCTGAAATCTATAAAATCATTATTTCTAAGTCCAATCTAAATCATTGTATAATTTGGGTATTATTATTGTTGTTGTTGTTAAACTTAGGTTTTCCAGGAAAGGCAGCATTCTCAAACACTTTGGTCACAAAATTAAAGCTACACACAGGTTTGAATACAGACAGCATCTTTTTCTGGGGGTGAGGGGTGGAGGGATGAGAACAGCCCAAGCGTAACTGAACATCTTTACAAGCATGTGACTCATCTGCAATCCACTCTCCTGTCAGTATGATCAGAGATGGAAGTCAATCACTAATACAACTTATGTTGTTTTGTGCTATTAAAAAAATACTGGCACAGAGTCTACAGTCCCTTAGGAAGCCTATCAATTTTCTTCCAACTTTTAAGATGTCGTGCTGGCTAATTTCATGTGCCAAGTTAACTGGGCTGTGGGGTGCCCAATCGCACATCATTTCTGGACGTGCCTGTGAAAGCATTTCCAGACGACAGCAAATGAGTGAACTCCGCAGAGCTGATTGCACTCCCAACAGAGCCTGAGTGGAACACAAAAAGAGGAGGAAGGGGAACTCAACCTCTTTCCTCCCTTCAGGGATCGAGCTGAGACACTCCATCTCATCTTCAGCCCTAGCACTCAGGTATACACCATCAGCTCTGCTGAGTCTCATGTCAGCGGACTCAGAAGGAACCATACCAGTGGTTTACATAGCTCTCCATTTTATAAACAGCAAGCAGCTTCCATAATTATGCGAGCCAATTATTCATAATAAATCTTCTTAGCTAGAGGACAGATACATGGATAGGTGGGTAGACAGAAGATTTACCCTGTTTTTCTACAGACTATTGACTAACATAGATGTCAAGTTATATCTGGAGAATGTGATCAATACAAATAACCAATAATGATATGAGAAATAACAAAATCAAATCAATTTATAAATAATTATTTTAGCAGATAAAGGTACTGAGAAAATGGTGATGATCACGACACAGTCTCAGTAAGAAATAGCTGTATTTGGTTGTCTTGTCGCTGTGAACTCGGGATCCCAGATAATGAAGAGCCAAAGCTGTTAACACTGATGTCTACTTACCCCATGGCCTGAACAGACTTTCCCCTTGGAATCAAGTGGGCAGCTGCTCATATTTAGGGCTTGAATCTGTAGGCACTTCCGATCTAAGCACATCATGGATGGGCCACATGGAGTCCCATCTTCTACGTAGCCCACATCTGTATCATCATCTAAAACTACGTGAGCACCACTGAAAGCAAGCAGAGGGGGAGCCACATAAATGTAAGCACCGCACCTACAACGCTGGGCCAGCACAAACAAGACTCACCATTCAGGAAACAGAAGAGACTGTTACAGCTAGCAAGGGGTTTTCACGTCCATTTCTCCTTCCCACCCATCTTTAAGAAGAGTGCCGGAAAGAAACTACCTTTCATTATCATTATAGCACACACATCATCAGGGACAACTATTATTGGCAGGGAACCTTCTAGCTCTTCTGTTGTTTCCAATATTAAGACTAAATGAAAGGTGTTTGTGTAAAAAGGAGAAGGAGAAAGCGTGTCCTTGGTTCTCCAAGGCATTGTGGGGGAAAGGCGGTATGCGAGGGAAATAATGGTGAGCAAAAACAGCAAAATAAGGTATTTGAAAATTATTATTATCACCCCAGAGGAGTTAGCTATCACAATTAAAAAGATAAAGCTATGCCAGGTCTCCTCTACTAATGTATACTTCTTACGTTTCAAAGTCAGGGGCAATTAGAATCTGAATGATAATTAATGATATAATTACTAGCAGGGAATCTTGCTGAATGTTTTTACAAATATGGCAGTTTGCAATATAACCACATAATTTAACCAGGCTATTAAAGACGTGTGAGAATGTATACATTGAAAGAGTGCTTCTGTATGTAGAAGGTGGTAGACACTACACTACAGATACATTCTAAGGAAGAGCTAACTGCCTAAGGCCTTGTTAGAATTACCTCAGAGCCATTTAACAAGATGGAAAAATAGCAGTTATCTGCCCAAGACAGCATTATCCAATTGTGCAGAAGTACTCTCAGATAATTTCCAACATTAATTCACTCCCAGAAAAAAAAAGTGGTTTCAAATTCCAGGATAGTGAAAATAAAGGGCAGATGCTGGAGGGAGTATTCTTTGTTAACATTAATAAACTATATTTTAATAACTATTTTCTGTATGTGATTTGGTACTTGGTAGGTAAACCAGACACATGCAACATAAAACACTGCTTGAATTGGAATTAGAATAAAAAAAAGTAAAACACACAGTATTCAAATGGTGATACATTCTGATGCTCCTAAACTTTAACCAGGGGAAAAATGAGTACAGGTTGCGTGTCCCTCATCCAAAACACTGAACTCCGAAATGTTCCAAAATCTGAAAGCTTATGAGTACTGACAGGAAGCCATGCGTGGAAAAGTCCAACTAAAACACAGTCACACTTAAAATGCAGGCACACTGAAAATACTAAGTAAAAAAAAAAATCGCTGCTCAAAAGAAGAAATATAAATGGTCAATAAATACAGGACAGTTCAATATGATTCAGGGAACTGCAATTTAAACCACGATGAGATGCCATCTCAATTTACTTAAAGTAGCCATCATCAAAAAAAAAATTACAAATACTGGCTAGAACAATGAGGAAAAAAAGAACCTTAGTACACTAAAAGTGGGAGTGTCAACGAGTACCATCTTCAAGAGAATAGTGTAGGGGATTCTTTTAAATACTAGCTAGTACTACTGTGTGTCTACTGTGGCATTACCACAATAGCCAGGATATAGACTCAACCAACCCATCAGCAGAAATGGATATAGGAGATGTGGTGTATACATAACAGAATATCACTTAGCCACAAAGACGAATGAAATCCTGTCGTTTTCAGAATATGTGTGAACTAGGTTGCACACAGAGAGATAGGCCCAACACACCACTTCACACATGTATAAACTTTTAAAAGTAGACTGAACAGTGGAATAGTGAAGAGTAGGGCTTTGAGACTACGCAGTGTGGGGTGGATGTAATTCATTCATGCTGTGTCCTTGTGTGGAGCTATTTCAGTAAACTGTTATTAGCCACGGTTACTATGTTAATAAAATAAACACACAAACTTTTTAAAATTTCCTTCTGTCTGTGTGTGTAGGGAATAAATGAAACATAAATCCCGTACTTAGTCTTGGATCCCAGCAAACCTTCTAAGACCTGAAGATTTCTAATCTCAAGCTTTGGGGGTATGAGACATCACTTGCAACATAACTCGGTTCCTAAGACTGTGACTCGGAAAAAGGTCTCACTACTGATAACAGCTACAATTTTGGGTAACTGTAATTTGCAAACCCACATACTACTTTTCAAAAGTGGTTTTCCACATGAAAGGAAAAGATGAAACTGGAGAATCTTAGATCTTTGGTGTTTTCTATTTTTGCTTGCTTGAAATCTGTGATCATCACACTCCCCTCGCTCACTTGCTCGTCTCCTGACTTCCATGTGTTACCTGCAGTCAATGACTCGGCCTTGGTGGTAGAAGGACGTCGGGATGATCTCTCCTTGAAGTTGACCAATTCTCGGAGCTCGAGTAAGATTGGTGCACAGCAAGAATCCACAGAACACGTCACTGCACAGGATTCAGAAGACAGGAAGACTCCAGCTCAAAAACCCACAACTCTCACTGCACATCCATTAGTTTTTACATGGTGTGGTTCTGGGAACCAAACCCAGTACCTAGCATATACTAAGCAAGCAACCGAACTATTGACCCTTATCTCCAGGCCTAACATTTCTCAATATTCTCTTTACGGCAAAATGAAAGCACTCAGACATTCTGGCTTAGCTATGACTGTCCTTGCCAAGGGACCACTGTGGTGGTATTGTGTTCCCCAAAATATTGTGTACTCTAATAAATTTATCTGGGGTCAGAGAACAGACAGCCACTAAATACAAAGGCTAGAAAATGGTGGACCTCACACCTTTAATCCTAGCATTCCAGAGATAGAAATCCCTCTGGATCTCTGTGAGTTCAAGGCCACATTGGAAATAGCCAAGCATGGTGACACACGCCTTTAATCCCAGAAAGCCAGCCTTTAATCCCAGGGAGTGGTGGTAGAAAACAGAAAGATATATAAGGCGTGAGGACCAGAAACTAGCAGCATTTGGCTGGTTAAGCATTTGGCTGGTTAAGCATCAGGCTTTCCAGCAGCAGTTCAGCTGAGAGCCATTGGGATGAGGACTCAAAAGCCTCCAGTCGGAGGAAACAAGACCAGCTGAGGATCCGGCGAGGTGAGATAGCTGTGGCTTGTTCTGTCTCTCTGATCTACCAGCATGGACCCCAATAACTGGCCTCGGGTTTGATTTTATTAATAAGAACTTTTAAGATTCCTGCTACAGACCACAGCTTTACTAGAGAAGTGAGCACCCCTGAAAGAAAGGCCTAGAATATTCTCAGTCAGTAGCAGCACTGCTGTTCCCTATGTCTACTGTCCTGAGCATCCCTCCTTTCTACTCTAGAACTGAGATCAACACAGCCCTCCTAGAAATGGATGTAAGGAAAAGCCACATCACAGTTGCTGGAAGGGTCACACTTCCAGACAACAGGAAGACAGGCCATCTACCTTGGAATGTGTGGTTTTTGCATCCACTTGCAACCATGAATTCGCAAGGGCAAGAATTTAAAAGTCAACATTATAAAGATCGCACAGCAGAAGGGAAGGCATCTTTCGGATCTTTGGTGGCATTATTAAAATGACTCACCTGTCACGAGGACACCTCTACCTCCAGCCTAGCTGTTCAATAAACAATGACTCATACCAGAAGATGGCAAAGATGTGAAGCGTCACTTCACTAAAAAGGAAATCTGCCTGGAAAGGAGCTAACTTCCACTTATAACTCGGAAAATGCAAATTAAAACCGTGCCAAGATAGCAATCCACACACACCAGAACTGATAAAAGTTTTAAAAAAAAATCTGTTAAGATGGAGTATTGATGAAAATAGCATATATTATGGGAGGGTTTCCCAGAGCACAGCCATTTTTAGGAAACAATGTGATGTCATCTGATGACAGTGAAAATATGCATCCCTGTGACCTGGCAATCGTTTTTGCTAAGTATGGGCTCTAGAGATATGGACACAATACACACTAAGCCACATGTACAAGAATGTCCACAGCTCTATACCTTATTTGATGCTCTTTTATTCCTCCTCTTCACACTGATCTCTTTTTGTTTCTAACAGAATTTATTTCATTAATCTTTCGACCGTTTCCCACAGGTATACATACACTGCACCCACAGCTCTCCTGTTTTTTTGTTCACGTCGTGTTTGTGTCAGCCTGGGAGAGCAACGGCTCTGCCCCAGGGTACCAACTCACTGTTTGCTGCACTGGATCCACCGGTCTCCATCTTTGCCGCAGTTTCCCTTCTCGGTGCCTTCCGTATTCAGCTTCTCGTAGCAGAACTTGTCTGACCCCGCAGCCTCTATCAGAGATGGACGGGAGGAGAAAATACACTTTACTTCTCTGGGTTCCTCACACTCAGTGGGGTGCCACAAAGTGTCCAGCAGCTGCTTCTTGGAAATGGAAAAAAAGGCGGGGGGGACGACTCTTGATTGCCAGTTCCTATGGTGGAAACATGCAAGGGCTGATTCCAGGCTATGGATATGCTGCTCACCGGCTCAGCAAAATCTCCAAAATTCAGCCGCTTTTGTAAGCCAGGGCAAAAATGCTCCAGCACAGCACTGTCTGGAATATGAGAAGTCTCTAGGCAGATCTTGCTGGTGGGTTTGAAGGTGACCAGGGAGAAAAATCCGCTGGCAGCAATAAGTACACCACCACCACACAGTAAACAAATATGTATTCTTAATCCTGCTTTATTATAGTGTGTGTGTGTGTGTGTGTGTGTGTGTGTGTGTGTGTGTGTGTGTGTGTGTGTGTGTTGGGGAGTTGATGTCTATGGGTGTTGTGCCCAGATGTACAGCTGTATACCATGTGCATGCAGCGTCAAATGAGGCCAGAAGAGGGCACCAGATCCCCTGGAAATGGAGTTGTTAGCCATCCTGTGAGTGTTGGGAATGGAACCTGGGATCTCTGGGACAGCAATTGGTGCTCTTAACCACTGATCCACCTCTCCAGCCTTCTTAATCTTGTTTTATGTTAATATTCAGGATTAATTTAAAAGTCTCGGCCCACTGAGGTTGTTAGGGCTTTTTTTTTTTTTTTTTTTTGAGACGGAGTCTTACTCTTTCGATCCAGCTGGCCTGGAACTCATTACTTAGTCCATGCTGGCCTTTAACTACTAGTAATCCTCCTGTCTCAACTTCCCAAGTGCTGAGGTTGCAGGCATGAGCCACCATGCCTGGCACATTATGTCCTTATTATCTTTACCTGACTGTAACTCTTCCCCATGAATGACACCTGTCAAACACTGAAATCACTCAAAGGGCCTCTTTCTCCACGTTGGCAGACCCAGCCTCAGACAGCTAGGAAGTCTCATTTCTCAGCCTTGCTGTCCCTGGTTAGTTTTGTTTTTTAATCAGCTTGACACAAACTACAGCCACCTCAAAAGAGGGAAGTCCACTTGAAAAACTATTTCTCCATCAAACCGGCCTGTGAGCAAGCGAGGTGGAGGTGGGGATGGGGGTGGGTTTTCTTGATTAAATGCTTGATGTGGGAGGACCTCACTGTGGGTAGTGCCACTCCTGGGCATGTGGTTCTGGGTTGTATCAGAAATCAGGCCGAGCCAGTCTGAAGGAGCAAGCCAGTAAGCAGCACCCCTCTCCATGGTTTCTGCTTCAATGTCTGCCTCCGGGTTCCTGCCTTGAGGCCCTGCGCTAACTTCTCTCAGTAATGGAGTACGATACAGAGGTATAAGCCAGATAAATCGTTTCCTCCCCAAAGTTGCTTTTCTCAGTGTTTTTGTTATTTTTTTTTTTAAATCAGAAAGCAAACTAGGGCAATTCCTGTGTGGCCCTCATGAACTAAAATTCTGAGTCACTGTAAACGTCAGCCAGTCGATGTGTGCATTAACATTTAGGCAGTGTCTGGGATTTGTTACCATGGACCTGTGTGCTCCCAGGGAAATTCCTGCATTGTCATTAATTTAACTGAGACAGTGAATGACAACTGAAAAAAACCAAAAAAACAAAAAACAAGTCTGTTCCTCTCCCAAGGTAAACTAGCAAAGTACAAAGTAAACCATGCCATCACGTAAGTGGTCAGACTGTGACCGTGACCATGGCACCGGGCCCTGTGGTTGCCGGTAGCCGCAACATCCCATACATAACAGCCAACCAAAGCCGATGAAAGACACTTTGGTTTCCATGACAATGTCTCACTTGGGTATCGGTTTTCCACAGTTTTTGCTGCATCACCATCGTCATCATTATTGGAGGTTTACTGGGGACTGAAGCTGAAGCCTGTTGCTCATTCTACCACTGAGTTATACTTCCAGGCCTGGGCATGGTTTTCATACCATCTCTTTTATTTTCCTCCTTTTCTAGACTTTTCTTTCATGTCACTCCCTGCTGTGTACCCCTGTCACTGACTGGAAGAGAAGAACCCTGCCAAGGAACCTGGGTACAGCTAGCAGGCAGGACATGCAACCTGCTTGTAAGGAAACTGGGCACGGCCAGCAGGCAGGAAATGCAACCTACTTGTCCCCCAGATGTACTGGCACTGGTTGTCTCTTGTCTTGCACTCCCCATTGTAGCAGCGACCCTGAGAGAAAGAGCACGTATGTTCT